AGTGTTCATATTAGTAATGATACCGACTATGAGACTAAGGTAATTCCAATGGCTATTAGAGTTCAGAACAATGTATTTCATGAATGTGATGAGTAATTGTTTTGCAAGTGCGAAATTTGGGTTTCAATAAAGTATATTTTAGGACTCATTTATCAAATGTTTTGGTAGTTATAAATGTTTTTTGATGATTTACATTTCAAAATCCAAACCACCAAACTGGTTTTCAAAACATTCTATCTATTTGATTTACAAATACGACTTTAACAACCTAGCATAGGATAACCCATACTAAACAGCATAAAGAACAATCCTATAGTGGATGCTTGATTCACTTGAGGGCTTTTAACTCTCTTAACTAATACTCTTTCGAATAGTGTTCTGTTATAGAAGTATATAGCCTAAACTTAGAGCTCAATCACCTCCCATACGCGGCTACACGTACTTCATCCAGAAAGGATTAATTATCATTTACCCCAAAATAATTTTATGACTTGATGCCCGCCTATGGGTTAGTACTTGGTATATTTGTTTTTTCAATGATTAATGGGTGCACTACTGAAGGTTCACCGTTCTGATAAATGTTTTCATTATAGTGGCATAATATGATAGGCATAACGCCTAATCACATTTCTCATTACCACCACTCCAAGCTTCCAATTGAAAATTGGATTTAATAAGCTGAAATTAGAACAAGGTGTCAAATTTAACCAAAGAGACACTGCTTGACTGGAGATACAACTGAGCAAATGTCATGGTCTCTTTTGTGGATAGGTTTCTTTAAAAAATGCATCTTCACAACATTCTACATAGAGCTTCATTAATACAATACTACGTAGTACGGAGTAATTCATAAATGCTCCTAACAGCATATTTGATTACTTTATTGAAATGATTACCCATATTAAACAGTTTTATTTCAAAAACCTGTAACTGTATGCTTTCATTGAAACACACACACAGACTCACATTCATGATCATTTTATATTTTTTAGATGTTGTTCATCAATTTTGCTTCTAAATATTTCTGGTGTACTTCAGAGTCAATATTTTGTTGGAACATTAAAATAAATTGGAAGTTCCAATTTTCTACAAAAGGAAAAAATATCTAACTGATTTGATGACATAATTAACTCCTTAGTTGGTGGTTTTAATCGCTTATTAGTTACATCCCCATGGATCACAATAGAGTCATTCTAGTTTTAGATAAACGGCAAACCAACTAAAGTACACTATTCAGAAGAAAGAATGATAGAAAGATCCAACTATACCCAGACAAGGCCCTTCTTCCTAAATAACCAATTACTAGAAAACAGGACTAAATGAGTTCATTAAATTTTTTAGCCATGGGAATAATATCGATGGACGGTACATGTCCCACAACGGACATCCCATTTGGTGAATCTTGAATTGTTAAAAATGAAACCTATTCTCTGCAGTTTGTATATACAGTAACTAATTTTATCTATAGAACTGTGTCGGTAAAACAGATAATCAGCAGCTTTGAAATACAAAGGGTTAGCATTCACTGATTCAGTAAGTGACTAATAGGATAAAGGGGAAATGCTAAAGTAGGGTGAAATACCGAAACACTTTATCCTAGAAGCAAGTTGGCATGGTGAGACCCCCAATGCATGTCGCCTTAGTTAATTTCATCTCTTAAGTTGGCAGTGAACAAAAGTACTTGTAAGATTACCTTTGCAGCACTAGAATCATGTGGAGCAAGTGACCTCCCATCTTTTGCAAATTTATAAGAGCATTCTGAGTATGCTGATCCAAGACCTATTCCAGCACCAAGATTTATACAAGCCCAACGTGCGGCAGGACTACCTGAAATGCCACTAAGTTAAGCACCTTCTATTTCAATAAGCCAGCTTTAATTTTAGGGCGCATAGACAAATTGACCATCATCAAGATTCAGCATTTTCTGAGAGCATTTACAAAGAAGCCTCCAACAAAATGAAGGTTGTGTAGTGTATAATTTATCAAATAGAACCTTGTTTATTTTTCACATTTCCAATTTCCAACAGTGAATTAAAGCCAGCCTTTGTTTTGCACACTTAACAATTGCATTTGTTTCAGATGTTCTCTTCATGAAGCAAAAAAGGTCATTACATTGCATTATTAAATGAAATGAAATGAAATTATGAATCACTCCTACTATATTTTGCGTCCGAATGTAACACAAGTACTCTTGCTATATCCTTGTATTTGTAAATCATGCCAATGTGCCATGTATTGCAGCTAGATGATAATAAGTCTATCATCAATGCTTTGGAATAATACATGCAACGAAGCACCAAATCACCTTAAGAAAAATGTATGTACTCAGACCTTAACATTGCATTCAAATCCTAAAATAAAAAATATACTACCATTCAAGAATAAATTGAGAGATCATCAGATTGTGCCACAAGAAGAAAACTTTATGCAGCATTTCAAGTGAAACCCAAATAGTTTTTAAGCAATTGGAAGAAAGGAGAAAAACAGAGGATTTGTAGAGAAAAAAACTTACGGAAGCAAAGAAGTCCACCAAAAGCGCCGATCAAAGAAAAATAGATGCCGCGGCGGAGGAACAAATCTAAGCAAGCGTCCCGTTTGGCGTTCAAGACATCTACTGGTGAGGGTACGTATTCCCCGTGCCCCTTGCTCACTACCGCCATTACTGCAATTTGAAGCTCTCTCCCGCCCTCTTTCTAGATTGGAAATCCGAGGATTGATCTCTCTCTTATTTTGCTTTCCCCTGCGAATGTTTTCTTCCTTTTCTACATCTGTAACATCCTAGAGATTATTTTAATAAAAAAAATTATTTTTTTTCTAGAGATTATTTTAATGGGGACCATCTTGATGATATATGGAGTGGGGATGGAGTAAGGATGTTTTTATTGCACGGCAATTTGACCCAGACCAGACCAGACCCAGTTCAGACCAGACCAGACCAGACTTGGATGGTTATAAAAATACAAAGAAAACAGACCTTACCAGACCAGTTCAGACCAGATCAGACCAGACCAGACCAGACCAGACCAGCAAATTACAGTCCAAGTAAAAACATCCTAAGTTCTTTTTAGAAAATCCGGTATCAAATAGAATGCTAGATTTTTCTCAAGTTTCAATAAACATATTTAATGCAATTATATATTTTAATTTGAAATCACTAAAATATCTCTTTGAAAATAAAACCAATTTCATAAGAAAAAACTAAATAAATAGAGATAATGGTTGAAAGAAAATTAACAAGCTCTGATTTTATTAATGTTGCAATGATATGACAAGAGAAAAACATAAAAACCAAATATTTGAAGAACATGGATAGAGGTGCTCTGAGACTCAGCTCGTAACTATTAAATGATCTGAGTCTCAGTTTACGAATAATCATAAATCCCCAAAGTATTTTCATATTTTTTAAGTAAATGATACAGAGAACGGTTGCTATGTGGTTAACTAAAAATTTATCCGACTTCTCTCTAGGGTCGCCGCTTCGCCGCTAGAGTAGGTATTCGTTTTCCGTTTTTTATCGAGGATGAAGAACGACCATCCCTGACGGAAGACCGAGTTACACGAGAGGATTTCCACAGACGAAGGCTACTGGCAGAGGTCGAAGACGCGGTATCCCACCAGGTCTGAGTTTCGTCATCAGCCGAAGGGTGCTGGGGTATTGTGATTGCGTTGGTATCGAATTCCTGGACAAGTTTGTGAATCAATACAAGAAGAAGGCTATTGGGGAGGAGGACATCGAACTTAATTTTGATGACGAGGGAGTCGGGGAAATTGATACAACCGAGAAGAAGGTTGAATTTCCGGTGGTGGGAGTCGTTCTCACGGATCAGAAAATCAATTTTCAGGCTTTCAAGAATCTTTTGGCTTCAATTTGGCGTCCAGGTAAAGGGTTATCAATTAAAGAGATAGACGACAAAAGGTATCTGTTTACTTTTTATCATATTGTGGATATGAATCGTGTTCTTGAAGATGATCCTTGGTTATTTGAGAGAAATTTATTGCTTCTTAAGGAAGTTAGACCACATGATATTCCCCACAAAATGAATTTGTGTGAAGCTGAGTTTTGGGTACAAGTGCATAATGTCCCGTATAGCTTTATGAATATAGGAACTGCTGTAAGGGTGGGAGACTATATTGGTGAGTTTATTAGTTTTGATGAGAGTCACTCATCAAAACTTAGGATAAGAATGGATGTGGGGAAGCCTCTGAAGAAGGGTTCTACCCTTAAGAAAGATGGTATTGGACATTGGGTGGATTTTAAATATGAAAAACTCCCTAATTTTTCTTTCATTTGTGGGGTGATTGAGCATTCTGATAAATTTTGTCCCTTGAAATATGAGGAGGGTATAGTTTTGGAAAAATCTTTTGGGGTAGAACTTCAAGCAGGTGGAGGGGGTGAAGACTAGCCCAACAAAGGGCAATAAGTGGTTAGTGGAAAAATCTTCAGGTTCAAGAGTGGTCAGACAACAGAAGAGAACATGTCAAGAGGGTGAAGGTACTAGGGAACAATGAGGGCAAGAGTCTACAGCTGGTACAGATAATAGTGTCACCAAAGAAGGAGGCATAGGCAATGCTGAGGAGGTGGTAGTGGACCAGAGGTGCAGAAAGATCTGGGAAGAACAACCACAAGAGGACCAGCTAGGCGAGAGTATGTATTTGGATAAAACATAAAACAAGGAGGCGGCGGGTCCTAACTTCTAGATCTGCCGGTCATGCGAGTGGTGCTCTTGCCGAAGAAGACAAACTTTGGCTTTTATTTTATTGATGTTTTGCATTTTAATTTCCACGTTGAGATTGTTGTTTTTTGTTTTTATTTTATTTGGGACTATAAGACTTTTGCATTAGGATTGAGTGATAAGAGTTCTGCGGTAACCGTCTTTGGCTCAATTATACCCAATTTAGCATTCATGAATTATATTGCTTTGTCAAAGATTATTAGTTCTGAGTATAGTTCAAGGGCGGTTACATGCGATTATTTTGTTATTTCAACCCAATGCCGTGTTATCAATGTAAGACTCCTTCTTTCGAAAACAGGTAATGATACAGAGTATCATAACAAATTTTGATACTTGAAATTATAATCAAATCATTAGTAGTCGGAATTACTCGTATAAGGAAATTACAATATTTCCTTATCTTAATTACTCCGTGTATTCTTGTCAAAAAACATAGCAAGCATTCAACACGCAGAGTCCTCCGGTGTGCCAACTCCCACCTACCCGGCTGCTCGAAACTCCGAATTGAACGTGAGACGTACATGTTTTTCGAGGTACAGAGAGATATTGCTCGGAGAGATTAAGGAGGTTCATGAACGTGGCAAAAATGCTGTTTTTTGTGCTGCTGCTCTCTTCTGCGGCGGTGCTGCTCACCGGAGACGCGCTGTGGCTGGACTTGCCGAGCTCGGGAACCAAGTGTGTGTCGGAGGAAATCCACAGCAACGTCGTTGTTTTGGCGGATTATTACATCATCGGAGACGAGGCACATACAGTCATCCCGACCATTTCCATCCAGGTAGAAAAGAAAGAGAAAAACGATATAATTGCTTTCTGTTTACTGAGAATATTGATTTGCGTTTTGAGCTGAAATCATAACAAAAGGGGAAATGAAATGAAGAGACAATGGAAAATTTGGGCAATGATCAGTGCAATGGAAAATATTTAGGAAGAGTTTAGGGGTTTTGTGGGGGATGGGGGAATATGCAAGAGAGGGTCAGAGGGGAGTGCATATTTTTCATTTTGAAAAATTGTGAATTAATTGCCAGAAGAATGATTAAAAATAGCTACTTTTTAAATTGAGGCTATTGTGATTTTATTACTAAGATAATACTTAATCTGTGCAAAAAAGATAAGATTTTTTTAGTTTAAAGTTGACTGAAAATAAAGTTAATTAGCTCCTAATCACTCATAACTTGGTGGTGATAATTCAAATAATCATATTGATATATTTAGAAAGTAAATTAAAAGTTTTATTGATGCCAAAAGTAGTCGAGTGTGATGAAAAAAAATCAAAATTTCAGCTGAACTAGGAACTGCTTGAATACTGATGTTACAGATCATTTGGGACAGAACCAGTACCTATGTAGTTATGAAATTACTAGTTGTCCTATTTGGGGATTACTGCATGTTTTCGTCAGACCGTGCAAAAGATTTCAATATTCATAGCTTTAACTCGGCTGTTTTTCATAAACAAACAATATAATATGATAAATTAGTATATAGTACATGTTCTAATCCAAAACCCAACTCCCAAACGTACCCTTAGGGTTCGATTTAGGCCTTTAGATATGCAAACAAGGCAAGAACAGAATGATGGCAAATTAGGAATAGGGTGCTTGAATAATTAGTTTTCCAAAGAGAAGTTAAATTTGTAAATGGAAGTAAGAAGACCTATAATTTCATATAAAGAGTTGATTTTTCATGGGATTAGTACTGTTCAAATAGAGATTGTAAGAGTTAATTTAATTAGCAGTGATTGGAAAGTTAGTAATTCATGTTAGAGCATACAAAACAGCAGCTATGGTAAGTAGTAGTATTGTGCACGGATAAAATCTTAACTTATTATTCCAGTTAAGTTAGACAACTGAATTAACTTGTATAGATGTACCCAATTCCTGGGATGAGGACTTCTGTCTGGTCTGGTTGAGTTGATTTAGTTGTGTTAAATCAGTACTTCATATAATCACAACTGAATTAAATCAGTACTTTCTGTGCATGTGAAAAAGCAAATACTCTGTCAAAATCTGCTAGATCCCCCCCCACCCCCCCACCCCAATGCATCTGTGGCAAGTGCTACTCAAATTTTGTCCTACCGGTATTAACTAAAAGAAAGTTGGAGCCTTGGACTGTAACATTTTTACCTCACAACTCAAGCATACTCCATTTGCTTTTAAGAAAAATGCTAATTGACTTGTTGTGAAGATATTATCTAATACTCCGTAATATGGATGTATATATATCACAGTAATATATTTTGTGTGAGCATAAAGGTGTTGGGATCATTGTAGATACGGTTTACTCCAGTGCAGTTAGTTTGCTGAAGTCCATGCCATTCATTCATTGGCTAAGAATCAGAGTTACGGAGGACATTCATGAATGTGTGGTTTCTGTTCTAGAAACCAGCCTTCATGCCAGTCGAGTAGTAGGCGGTAATCAGACACCCCAATTTTAGTCTATTTGGTCCAAAAATCAATACTTCTGAGTTGATTTAGTTGAGTTAAAATTAGTACTTCGTATACACCATCATTATATGACTTCTATGCATGTGGAAAAGCAAATGCTCTGTTAAAATGTGCTAGATACCCCCCCCCCCCAATCGCCTCTGTGGCAATTGCATCTCAACTTTTGTACCTACCGATACTAACTAATACCTACTGAGAGTTGGAGGCTTGGAGAGTAACATTTTTTAGTGCACAACTCATGCATACTTGTAAATATATTTTCTAATAATAGGGATGTATATATCTATTTATACCATAGTAATATATTTTGTATAATCAGAAAGGAGTCAGGGTCATTGGATATACGGTTTACTCGAGTGCAGTTAGTTCGCCTAAGTTCATGCTGTTCATTCATTGGCTAAGAATCAGAGTTAGGAAGGACATTCATGAATGTGTGATTTCTGTTCTAGAAACCAGCCTACATGCCAGGCGAGTAGTAGGCGGCAGTCACACACCCCAATTTGATTCTATTCGGTCCGAAATTCATTCGGCAGATTAGTAGGGCTCCACAACCCATTTTTCTAGATTTGAACTGACAACCTTAAATATTCATGTCGGGTAAGCTACTGGCAAAGTAAAGCAACAACTACGTCCTGATTACAAACTCTTAGGTTATCTATCTATGGAATACCTATTCCATAATTGAGCTAAATGATTAGTTATACTCCCTCGGTCCCAAAAAATACTTCCCAGTTCCACTTGACATGCATATTAATAGTGGGAATAAAGTGAAAATGTATGGTCGTCGTTGAGTTAGGAAAATGTAAATCAATATTAGAAACACAAATCATTCTATACAAGGAAACTAGGAAGAATTTTTTGGGACATCCCAAAAAGGTAAGTGGGAAGATTTTTTTTAGACGGAGGCCGTATATTATTATTGCATTTATGATTCTATAATTCATACATGTTGGCATGTGTGTGTGTATCAATATATATAGCTGCTTAACCAACAAAATCAGTTTGGTGAAAAAAAAAACCTACAAAATCAGTAAGCTGTTACAGAGGGTCGGAACCAAAGCATTCCTCTAATCCTCTCTAAACAACTCCAAAATCTCCTTCCATTGATTTGATTCACAATTTTCAATCCCCTCCCCTCAAGTTGGATTCAAATTTTTCTCCAATAAATTGTCTCATGTATTGGAGACAAATTAGAATCCAACTTGGGGAGTTGGGGGGAGGGATTGAAAAGTGTGAATCAAATCAATGGAGGGAGAGTTTTGGAGTTGTTTGGAGAGGATTAGAGGAATGCTTTGGAGGGCCTAGTCTATACCTTGATATACATTTGACATATTATACAGTTGAAACATTAAAATAATATGTAATCGTATAATATTTCAATCACCTTTTATTCGGTCATAGATACATCCTATTTATCAAGATATAGACTAAGCCTCCATAGCCTTCCCTCCATCCAACAAATTCAGACATAGAACTCTACATCTCCTCCTACAAGGAGCCTAAATTTTGCAATTCAATTCAGATCTGGTCATCACACTTGTTCCACCGAAAGTCTTTACTTATGTATATTTTATAGGTGACATCACCATATGGCAACAGTCTGCACCATCAAAAGAATGTAACACACGGTCAATTTGCCTTTACAACAACCGAGACTGGTTACTACTTCGCATGTTTCTGGATGGATGGAAACTTTTCAGCGACTAACAAGGGTGCAACTGTTGGTCTTGACTGGAAGACAGGAATTTTTGCGAAGGATTGGGAATCAGTTGCAAGAAAAGAAAAATTAGAGGTAATATTCCTCTTTTATGAGTTGGCATTGAGGTGGGAGGGGTAGATATATATAATATGGGCATGTATATATATATATATATATCATGTTATATCCTGATTTCTGGCTCAAATGTGATCATTTTTTCCATCCAGGGAGTCAATCTTGAGTTGATGAAACTTGAAGGAATAATTCAAGCCATTCATGAAAATTTGAAGTATAGGAAAGAGAGGTAACTGTTTACGTGCCAGTACCTATAGAATGATCATTCATTACATAAAACACTGTTTCACTTCTTTCTAATGTTATTTGGCTAGCCTTGTGCTTGTCAAATATTTGCCTCCACCTATACTTTTTACAGTTTATTAGCCTTTTGAATGCAAACAACAGGAACTATGATGGCAAAAAACTAGATAGAGGCCAAAACCAATGATTTGGGTAGCTTATAGGCTCCCAAATCCCCCCTTCCAACGCTTCCATTCTTTGAAGTGTTATGAATGGTTCATTAATCTGTTAAATGGTTTTTCATGTATACACTAAAATGCAAGTATCAAGACTTTATGATAGAATTTAGGACTAGATTGAGATAATTCAACTAGGCCATCAAGCCCTTAGTTCATTATAAGGCGTGATAAACTTATTTTTTTCTTTCATTGGTAATTGGGATTTTAACACTATCTCTATATGGACCTTTGGTTTGAAAGTATATGAGGAAGCCACTTATCAAAAGAAAAAAGAAAAAATAATTTGTTGGTTGGGGAAGTGGTTGAATTAACTATTACTGATGAGTGGCGTTCTATAATGTGTGCAGGGAAGCAGAGGCAAGGGAGGTGAGTGAAAAAACCAATGCGAAAGTGGCTTTGTTGAGTATAATGTCCCTTGGCATCTGTGTATTTGTTTCATCCCTGCAACTTTGGTATTTGAGGAATTATTTTCAAAAGAAAAAGCTCATCTAATATTCATGATTCTAAGTTCTAACCTTTTCCTCATAGAATGTCTCAAATACTGGTTGTCACCTTCAATCTATACGTCTAAATATGTACCATAGATAAATATATATGTCACACTTGCTTTCGAGCCTCTTTGATGGGCTACATTGTAATCTCATGTAATCTCATTACAAGCATGTCATCTCGCGTCATAGATGTAGGGGAGGAGTCACTCCTTGTGAAAGCCAACTTTGTTTTAAGAGTCCTAATTAAAAGCTTTCATGATATCATCTCCATTTATGTAGTCTAATGGTTTGAATGCATGTTCAGTACTTGAATAAGAGTAAAGGCATTTTACTACGGAGTATTAAATGAAAATGGGAGAAGGGTCAAAAATGACACTAACGTTTTTAATGAATCTCGTATAAGACATTCAGGTTTTTGGAGGACCAAATAAACACAAAACCTAACTTTTACCGTGATTTTAAACCACCCACTAACTTCTCCGTCCTAACACCCGTTTCCCGTTATGAAGCCCCCTTTCCCTGCTATTAAACACCACCACCCCCAATATATAAACCCTAATTGGATACTAGGATCTTAAAATCCCCTTCCATTCCTCTCGCCATGAGACTCCTCTCGACCTCTCCCCTAACCGCACACCATTAATATCGTCGACGACAAGCTTCTGGACCTCACCCGCAGTGTTCTGCTTGACCTCATCCGGCTCCGTTGGGCCACGGCGGCTGAAACCAAGGCTGCAGAGAAGACCATGTTTGATCTAAATTAAAGCTGGAGAAGTTCGACACAGCGGCTAAGAACAATGTCATTAAGAAGATAAGAGATTTTACAAGTTTGGGTTTAAAGGAAGCACAAGAGCTGGTCGAGAAAGCTCCGGTGGTGATGAAGAATGGGCTCGATAAAGAAAGAGGTACTGCCATTTTCTACAAGCTACTGCCATACCAGAATAAATCACCACCAATTGTAGTTCTTTTTTCTCTTTGTTGTAATACTGAGTTTGAGTTTAAAGGTAGTGCTTTTACAAGTTTGGGTTTAAAGGAGGCAAAGGTGCTAACTTTTACAAGTTGGAAAAATGTAATTTTTTATGTCCGCTTTGATGAGATTATTTGTATTGTGGGGCTGTTTTTCTATTTCATTTTGTTACTCGAGAATGTTACTTGGTTGATTTGTGAACAAATCAGAAAATTTCTCAAAGAAAAATGATGTTGGGTCTAGGGATTTGGAGTTCTTGAAAGAACTTGGTGAATTTGATTGAAGTTTGAGCCTTCCATAGCTAAGCTCAATGTGTCTATTGGGTCTGGGAAAACCCAAACTCAGATTGGTGAGTATCGATACTACCCTGTCAATTATTGTTCGTGTAGTATGGTGGATGGATTGTTGGTATAATGATATTTCATTATTCTGGTATTTTTTTGTTGATCCATTCCAGGTAATGATGCTTAATGTTGCATTGGCTTTGAAGAAGATTGGGTAGGAAGTTCACGCTGCTCACACTTACAGTCCATGGAGAATGACTTAGGGAGTTAGGAATGCGAACTGGGTTGTGCTTTTAATCGAAGGAGAAGACGGCTGTTTAACGGGAGTGTTAGTGGGTGGCCTATAATCAACGCATAAGTTCAAATCGGTGTTTATTTGGTCTACTAAAAACTATAGTGTCCAATCTGAGATTCATTAAGAACGTTAGTGTCATTTTTGGCCCTTCTCCCAATGAAAATTAAGAAAAAAGTAAGGTTTTTTTATAAGAATATTACTAAAATAAAACTTATTAACATAAATATGACTATTCATTACTACAACGTGGTGTTGTAGTAACTTAAGTTCAAAACTTGAACATGAATTACTATGATTTCATTACTACTCTAGTAACTAATCATATTTTTGTAAATCATCTTTATTTTGGTCATATTTATGTAATTATTTCAAAAAGTAATTCCTACGGGTAAATCCATTTCAGATTTCAACCAAACAAGTGAGTGAGTGCATGAGATAGGCACAGAAAAACCAATAATCCCAAATTTGAATATTTTCACCCCATGAGATACATGTCGAATAGTGTGGAATTGTGGATGTTTGGTTCTCGGCGTGTTGGATGAAAAATGCTACTACCTCCGTCCCACTAAGATTGGGACGAAAGAAGGTGGCACGATTATTAAGAAAAGTGGGTTTGTGTGGTTGATATTAAATTGATAAAGTAAGAATAAAGTAAGAATGATTTAGAGCCACACAATATTACCAAATTTGGTATGGGACAATCTTAGTGGGACTTCCCGAAAAGGTAAAATAGGACAATCTTAGCGGGACGGAGGGAGTAATTTTTATCGAGGGAAAACGCCGGTAAAACTAGCGTTTTGGGTGGAAAACGCAAGAAAAGAAGCACCCCTAGTATTAGTGATGGACCTGGGCCGGGCCCTGGTAAGGCCTAGTCCCGATGGGCTTTTGGGGTTTAAGGCGTAGGCCCGGAACCGATCCGGGTATCCATCGGGTCCGGTTCGGGCCGGGCCGGGCCTGGTTATATTTTTTTTGCTTTCTTAACTACCCCCTGACCCCCCTCACCCCCTCACCCCCCAAACACCCAGCTCGACCTGGGGGGGACAAAAAATTGAAAAAACCAAAAACAAATAATATTTTGGCCCGAACCGGGCCCGGGCCGGGTCACCTTTTCTTCAGCCCAAGCCTGCCTTGCTAAACCTTACGGTCTGGATCAAAAGACCGGTTTGGGACCTGAAGCACCGGGCCGGGCCCGCACAGTAGCGGGTTGGGCCGGGTGGCCCGAACCGGGTCCATCACTACCTAGTATGTGCTATAACCGTATAACACACTTTGTAGACATGGTTGCAGAATCTAGTTATTTTTTCAGCGGTAGTTCACTCAGAAATTTACAAACCTTATTCTCACTCTTGCAGAATGCAAATCCCGATAAATAAGTAGGAATAAAGGGACCATATTCCCTTTTCTAGGTTTGAAGTTTCTACTATTTTAAGAAAACAAATCATCACATTACGATCCCTCTAAAAAGTGGATCTCACAATAAAAATATAAGAGGTGAAGAATTAGCAAAGTTTGACCAAGGAAAGTGAGACTTGTAAAATGGGAGATTATAGATGGACTATAAAACGCATAGTCCCAAGTCCCAACTTGTTTTTTGTGCAGTAGGACTTGAATTAGGTTAATACAGAGTCACACAGATGTGAAGTTATATATATATGGCGTATTCCTTAATATTACGGAGTATTATTAATTATCCACCAATATTACTTATACTCTTACTATAGCTTTCTTGAAGTTTTTTTTGAAACCGTCTTTTTGTTGTGATCCTCTGCCGGACTAGGAGAGTGTCTTACGCAACTGACGACCGGATGGAAAGAAGAGCTTCTTGAGATACGCGAAAAAGTGGACCTCAATAATCTCCCACCGTTGGGCTCTAGATGAGACGGTCTCCCTCGGCCAGGTGCACCCTACCTGCTAGAGCAAGGTAGAGACCCTGGTCCCCGAATCCCTTTTTTGGCAACCAATCTATTTAAGTAAAAAACTATGTTGCGACAACAGGCTCATAAAACGATGGGACTTCCAATTCAAGAGAGTATCACATATAAACACAACAAAGAAATTTATTGGTACATACTTTTGTGCACTCCCAGTTGTCTGTGTACACAAGCAGTAATAAAGAAAAAGATTGTCTCCCAATTGTCTGTGTAGTACAAAAGTGTGTACCCAAAAGGGACTCTAACTACAAATCTTGAATCTCAGTCGGTCTTCAACTTCAACTTTTCTATTGAAATTGAATTACATAGACAGAACCCATTCTAAACTAAGTAAAAGAAACTTATTCGCCGAGTGCAGCCAATATCTTCTTCCGAACAAGCTCAACGCCCAATCGACTAGTTCCTGAAAAATTTGTTCACAACCTCTTTCTCCTTCTCTCAATTTCACCAGAAATTTGAAGAAATGTGGGTCGAAAATATTTTCACCGGATCCATATTCCCTCTTATGTTATACACTCTACAATTATACTCCACTCATTTAATTTCACAAATTCTTAAAAATTTGGATAAATTCCACTTGGTCCTAGTCCTACGAATATCGCACTAATTTCACAATTGGTTTACATCTTTGACCATTTTTGGTACATGACTATTGTGTCTTCGCCTATATATGATCCTTGCGACAATGTTTTCGATTGTTAAAATCACCAAAGAAGTATCACAAATGGTAAAAAATCGTTAGTCAAGTATCAAATGTAAACAAAGTGAAAGAAGTGAATTAAGATGTTTTTACTTGGACTGATATTTGCTGATCTGACTTATAAGTTTCTGACCATTTCGTTTTTACTTTTGAATGTCTTTTTGAGTTGAATGACTTGAGTAGATAGAATGTGGATTGGTTTTTGCTTGCATTTTACTTCTCTGAAAATGTGAATGTATTGAAAATGTTTTAACAGCGGAAGGCATGGGGGCTTAACACGTTTTGCTAATAGCTATTCAGTCTAATGGTAAATTCATCTTTTTACATCTATCACGGTTTTAGCATGGTAGTTCTTTTAAATTTGTCACCATAAATATGGTTTTATCACTTTTATGAGTTGGGTTCAATTTTAATAGATTCTTTTGATTTGTTGTTATATTTTTTATCATTATTATCTTATGAGGTAATTCCCTAAATAGGGCTAAATTCAAGTGCACAAATATGATTCTCATAATTTATAGGATAAAAAATGAACTGATTAGACAAAATTGCCCTTAATGAAGTTAAAGACTCAAAAAGAAAAAGAAAATCCTTCTCCCCATTGCTTCATCGACAGTCTGTAGCGTGGACTCCAAAAGGCGAAAACCTTCCGCCCCCTCGGTGCACGACCGCTGCAGTTGAAACCGCCGCCACAGCCAAGTGAGAGCGCTGCCGCCGCTGCCACCTAGATCGCCGCTGCACACCTCCGCTGCACTTACCTGCCCGACAGCGAGAGTGGTGCCACTGTTAGATTCTGGAGATGTTGACATCTTCTTAATCAACCACCTCTTCTGGACTGTATTGTATCAATTTCTAGCAAAACTGTAATTATGATAGGCTTGATAGCAATAATGACAAAAAATGGCATTTATGTATGCAAAAACATGGAATTTTCAGATTACAAATTATAGCATTTTCACATTTTAGAGTGGAAAATAAGGAATAGGAGAAGAAGATGAAGTAATGTTGCCAAAAAATTCAATTCAATGTCATAAAATGCCACAATTTGTGAAAATGTCAAAGTTTTGGTGTTCTCAACTCAAATATGTAATATTTTTATCTCCATAAAAAATGCCATTAATATGGCATTCTATTTACAAGTTGTTAAAGATACACAATAATAACATTTAGATCTGAAAATTTCTTAACATGAGCCTTGAATTTTCATTCCCAAAGATTTCGAATTAAAAAATTCAGATAAAAAAATACTGAAATGAAATCATATTTGAATAAATTAACAGAAATTAATAATAAATGAAAGAGGAACAAATCATAGAAGAGGAGGAAGAAGGAGGAGACGAAGAGAAAGAAGGGGAAGGAGAAGAGGACGAGAAGAAGAAGAAGAAGGAAGAGAAGGAGAAGCCGGAGTAGGTTACTAGGCTGACAGGTTGCACGAAGAAGATGCCGAATCGGGACTCCATTGGAGAGGAGCTCGCTCGCGATCGGTAAAGCAGATGCCGAATCGAGACTAGTGCGGGGTTTTAATAAAGCAAGGGTAAATGGGTCATAAGGAGTCCTATTTAGGAAAATTGAAAAATTAACTCCTATTTAGGAATTTTGATCATAATATAGTTCTATTTAGGGTAAAAAAACTCTTATCTTATCTATTCTCTCCATCCCGGTGGACTTTGCCAAGTGCAAAGTTGGTGAGAAATAAGAATAGTAAAAATTGTGTGGTTGACATTTGTGTAGACGAGAAAGAAATGTGCAGAACCACAAATTAGTTGCTTTAATAGGAAAGAAACAAAATATTTTGCATCAAATTTACATAATAAAATAACCTACACGGGAGGAGCTCCAAAGTAAGCTATGGATCCTCCCGAATAAGTCATACTTAATAAACAACCACCTACTCGTATGAAATCAGAGATGCTGGCATGACATCCTCAAAACTTTCTTCATAAAAACTGTGGATCTGTGGATGAAGGCCAACAGCTGCACTCTAGACATCAGCAAGGATGCAATGTTATTGTATTTCTATTTACATTACACCATCTCTTTGATCTTCTTGAAAGGCAAAATGCCTCAAGTCATTTTCACTGTATATTATTAACTCTTCTTAGCATAATATAGTATCCAAGAAGTCTTATAATTAAGAACAGAATGAGCCACACAAGAAGCAGGAAAACCACTGTTTTGGTGCAACAACCACTTGCTGCTCAGATTGAGGGTTCTGCAATGATTCACCCTCTTGCTCAGGCGGTATCAAAGACTGAGGTGGCTGCCTTTTGTCTGGCCTTAACTTTGCTGATGCATTTTTATCTATGTCCCCTAACAATATTGGGAATGCAAAGGATCTTCCACTTGCCCCACTCTCATCAGAGTAACGAGAAGTCCGCCCCTCAACACAACATTTTTCATTATTTTGATATTTGTTGTCCCTTAAGAAGTCTCTCATGGATGCCTCTGCTGCATCTATCCCTCCATCCCTAGCCAACTCAGTTATATGGCTAGATGACGGCCTCACTGAAGAGGAACCTGCCGCAGTAGTGGGGCCTTCAGAAGCTTCTTAATGTCGACAAAGCTCTTCAGAGTTCCACGTGAATTGATCTCTAGAAAAACTTGAATGATCCAGTTGGATACTGAATAGTGATTCATTGGACCCCATGCTCCATCCCAGTTCCTTTATAAACCTCCCTTTACCAGACAAAGAAGATGGAATCCTTTGTGGTTCATCCGTAGGACGCTCCATTACATGCGTTGATGGTGATTCTATGGTTAATAAGTTGCTAGAATTGAATCTTCCTCAAGAGTTAATTCATAAATAGAATAACTTGTTGTTTGGTTCCTTCTGCTGCCCTTTTAGTTCTCACACAGAGAAACATAGATTTGGAGAATCTAACTACCTTTCCATACCATCCCATTACTCAATTCTTCAACTCTTATTTATTAGTTATTCCGGCCGGCCTAAACTACCCATTCCTTTCCATCTATCAGATCATTTCCACACCTTCCAAGCTTTCATCTTTTACGTCATACATGGAGAAAGAAGCTAACTAACTGCCAGCAACGTACGTAGTACTATACTAAAACTTCGGCCGTTGTGTGTTGTTTGAGGTAGCTATATAGCCGAGGTGGTCGGTGGCGGGACGACAATAAAAGGATGTCGAACCGAAGATCGAGGCAGTCCGGGACTTTAAGGATCTCTGATGATCAGATCATCGATCTTGTTTCCATTGCAAAATTTATCAACGGAATGGACAAAGGGCAAACATATTGGGCACATATTCTTGTTTCCGTTGCATTTAACTTCAAAAGGCAAACATATTGGGCACTAGTATCTTAGAGTCAGAGTTGCTTGATAAAGAACGTTACAAATTGAGGTTGAAATCCATTCGTATGGTTTAGAAACATTTTAACGGGTTTTTAAGTTTTTTTTGGTAATGATTATGTATAATTTGCTACGTAGTATAACATTTTTATAATCGGATTTCTAAATAAATTGTAATTGAATGTTACTCGAATAAATATAGTTCACAAACGAAGTAATACTTTCAACGTGCATTACATCATAAATACGTAGTATTATATCAAATCACTTTTGTCCCGTGTAATACTAATCAGAATAAAGGCTTATCCCGAACCATACCGGACCGTTACTATAAAACCAGATCGGGATAACTCAAATCCATGATCGTGCCTACCCCTGCTCCTTATTAGCTAAGGGTGGGTTCGGTTTTGCGGTTCGGTTTTGACCTAAAACCAAATATAGAATCAAAGTAAAAGGTTCGGTTCATTTTCGGTTCGACTTTACACTCCAAATCTTGGAACCACGGTTTGATTGGTTCGGTTCGGTTTCGGTTTTTTCGGGTTTTTACCAAAAAAATCTCACTTGATTTAAAATTGATATAATACTTAGAGGGATCAAACATATTACATAAAGAATGCAAACACAATACAACAACAAATAAAATAGAAATGAGAAGAGATAAATATGTCTTGAATTATATGAACATGCGAAATAGATAAAACTGTATATATTATTGATTTAATTTGTTTGTGAGTAGTTCGAAAAAAGTTCATGAAAATATACGTTCTATGTGATACAGTTGAGATAAATATTTATAGTTTTATCACTATAAAATCTTTAAGTTATTTGAAAATTAAAGTTAATTACTACTAATAACTAGTAATCACATATTATCATCATTTAGTATAACTACATTATTACAGATAATAAATGTGTAAACGAATTTATAAACTAAATTAAATTAAACATAACACAAATATTATTTCTCTAACACAAGAAAATCAAAGACTATTGATGATATTAAGATTAATTAGAATTAATGCTTAACAATTAACATATAAATTTCATATTTTAAATAGTTCGGTTCCGTTTTGAAGAGTAAAAACTAAAACCGAACCAAACAACTTTGATTCGGTTCAGTTTTTTTACATTCAATTTCGATTTCTTAACGGTTCAGTTTTATTTGATTGCGGTTCGGTTTAATTTGATTGTGTTTTCGGGCACAGCCCTATTAAGGCTATTATTAACGATCTATTGCCTTCTGTAATCTGTTTTCCATCTTTCTTTTTCTTTCCTGCCTTCTGTAATCTTTTTTCCAACAAATGTTTTTTTTTTTTCTGTAATCTTTTTTCCTATTTCCAGCTTTCCATTTCTTTAATCATAGCACGGACCTCTTTCCGCTAAGAAATCCGAAAGTTTCCTCTCCGGCCGACGACTGTACGTGTACACTTCGGCTCCATTCTCAAGCCTACAGTCAAGAGCCGCCAACCCTACCGATTTGAGTACACTCTTAGGATCACCAACAACGGCCTTAACGAGGTAAGTCCTGGCGTGTCTTGATTAATTTTCAATTCCGCAATTTGTTCATTTATAAGAACATTGATGGCCAACAAATCAACCTAAAGTGTAATTTCTTCCCAAATTCTGCTTTGTTTGAAAATGTATTAGCTTTAAAGCCTTCAAATCCCTGAGAAAAAGTCATTTTAGTTATACTCTAAGCTTAAATTATGTTCTGTTTTGATTCTTAATATTATCTCTCTGTTAAAAATTATCTCTATTCAAATAGATCTTATTTTTTGCTGACTGCCGATACGCATATTCATATTGGTGTCACAATCAGATTTTTCGATCACCATTTGATTGTGGATTGCAGCACAACGTAATTGATCATTACAGGTTTCGGTTTTCTTTTATCTGGACAGGATTAAGCTTTTTATTGAATGTTATTTTCACAGTTTTGATATCCGTAGTATTAAATATGCCTAGTGAAAAAAATATATGCGTAGTGTTACGTGTGAGTCTATTTTTCTATCAGATAAGTTTGCAGTTGTTAATTAGATCAATGTGTTTTTAACTTTTCATTTTACAGAGTATGACTTACCATGTGTTGTTTGCATAAATAACAGTTGAAGTACTTTTTTTTTAAAGAAACAATTGGAGTACTTTGTGTGTATAATGTATATACATGAGCATATATATAAAGTTATAAACCTTGAGGCAAGTGATTAGATATTATATAATGTATGTTAATATGAATGTGACTACTTTCACATGCAATTTTATCTATGGAATGAAACCCATAATTGAAGTAGAATACCTTCGTTACTTTTGTACATATAAGGAAATCACAAATGGGAATAGAATAATAGGAGTACAGAATAAGGAAACCTTTAAATTCATCAAGGAGTTGGTGCAGGTGTGTCTATTTGGAAATATTTTACTTGGCATTTTCGTATTCAATAATGAAAATATCTAAGAGTGTGTTTGTTTAAATGTCATATAGAATCACATTAATCGCAATTCTGATATTATTATTTTTTTCGTGTTCTGCAGCAGGGGTAGATAGGTATGGAAATATTGGATTATACTCACTTATGAATTGGATTCAATCAGCTCTCAAGGTAATAATTGTGGGCGTGAGCACTACTCTTGACATACTACCTTCTATGTAAATAAATACATATGCTATTGTGAGCAATATACCTTTCAAAACTACATTTATGTGCTGGGGAGTTTTCATAGAAAAATTGGCATGTGGATGGCTTCAAAATGCTGGCACGGTAAATCTCCTTCATTGGAAAGTAGAGCCTATTTTCTGTCAATTTGAGCTGGCTAGAAAAAATTGGAAGCAGTTCATATTCTTTAACAAGAAAAAAGAATTTGTTTATGTTAAGTACTATCCTCATAACTGGTGGAAACCAACTATGTATATAAAGAAGTTGTTTATGGTACCTTTATAGTTACTTAATGTAAGGGAGAAGTTAATAGAGCTACAGAGTTGTAAATTGTTTGGTCTTTTGGTGCTGCAACAGATTAAACCCCTTCAGTCCTTCACCCTTGGTTGTTTAAAATACATCATTAATGTGGATTTTTGAATATTATAAGTTTCTGTTTTCATAAGGGAGTATGAAAGATTCTGTTAAGATGAAATTTATAAGGGAGTATAAATTTCATCTTAACACGAGTTTTCATACTCCCTTGGTTGTTTAGAATACATCATTAAAATACAGAGTTGTAATTTGTGTAACCCCTTTACCATAGGGGAGTATGGAAGCTTGTGTTAAGATGAGATTATAAGTTTCTGACCATTTCATTTTGACTTTTGAATGGCTTTTTGAGTATTGAATGGATTGTGTAGATAGGATGTGGATTGGTTTTTGCTTGCATTTTACTTATCTGAAAAATGTGAATGTATTGAAAATGTTTTAATTGCTGGAGGCATGGGGGCTTAACATGTTTTGCTAATAGCTGTTCAGTCTATTGGTAAATTCATCTTTTTACATCTATCACGGTTTTAGCATGGTAGTACTTTTAAATTTGTCAGCATAAATATGGTTTTATGAATTGGGTACAATTTTAAAAGATTCTTTTCATTTGTTGTTTTTTTATCATTATTATCTATCATTTTTTAAAAATCATTTTTATCATTATTATACATTCCAAATAGATTCTTTTAAATTTGTCAGCATCCCTAGTATCTAACAATGGTATAGCCGTAGTTTCGGGCGGGAGAGGAGGTGAAAAACACCCGAATCAACCGTCGCCGGGGACTGCAGACCGAAACACGAATCTCGATGACTGCCTTCGTCGCTTCTTCCACCCTCGTCCCGCCGCCGTTGAAAGCCATCGTGAATCACCCGTCCACCACCAATTTCCCCTTTCACGAATTCAAAATCCGCCAACGGTCCATCCTCAAATCTCGACCTGCTAGCATCATCAGCCCCAGGAGAAACCTCTGCGTAGTCCATGCCGGGGAGAACAATGGCGATAGAGATGTGGCAAGCATGGAAGAGAAGGGAAAGGAAAAGGGCCAGCAGAATAATATGCAAGCCACATTGAATTTGAAGTGGGTTGAGCTATTGCTAGATCCGGACCCGGAAAACATTTTGGCGGTTGGGTTAACGGGTCTGTTGGCGTGGGCGGGTGTGCAGATCTTGTGGCAGCTGTTCGTGATCTCTGTGGCGATTCTGGTTGCTGCTCTCAAGTATTCCTTCATAGCCGCACTTCTCATCATCATCCTCATCACTCTTCTTTGATCACAGCGGAAACTCAAACTCTTCAATTTGTCAGTTCTGGTGATGGAAATCCAGGCTTATCTGCTCATGTGATGTAGTCGTTATTCGAATCCCCACAAAGAATTTACAAGTGATTGTGATTTTGATCTCAATGCAATTTGAATATTTTATCTAAATCAAGAGAATGTGGACACAATATGTAAGAATGAATAAAATAATTAATGTTTTTTAGTATTCTTACTCGTGCGTTGCACAAGCTACACAAAACTCTCATTAAACAATATTTCAGATTTTAAACATCAAATAAATATCTTCATATTAATAAAAGCTTGATTTTTTCATATCGAAGAAACTCACCACTTCATAATAGTTTTAAAATATACGTAGTATTTCATTATGATGAAAATAAGCTTTAAAGAGACTACCAAGGGCGCATGTTTCTTTTAATCCACGACTTCATATTTCTTTTAATCCATCAAAAGAATGTAACACACGGCCAATTTGCATTTACAACAACCGAGACTGGTTACTACTTCGCATGTTTCTGGATGCATGGAAACTTTTCAGCGACTACCAAGGGTGCAACTGTTGCTCTTGTCTGGAGACAGGAATTTTTGCAAAGGATTGAGAATCAGTTGCAAGAAAAGAAAAATTAGAGGTAATGTTTCTCTTTCATAAGTTGGCATTGAGGTGAGAGGGGTCCATATATATAATATGGGCATGTGTGTGTGTGTCATGTTATATCCTGATATCTGGCTCATATGTGATCATTTTTTCCATCCAGGGAGTCAATCTTGAGTTGATGAAACTTGAAGGAATAATTCAAGCCATCCATGAAAATTTTGAAGTATAGGAAAGAAGGTAACTGTTTACATGCCAGTACTTATAGAATGATTATTCATTACATAAAAAGCACTGTTCCACTTCTTTCTAAGGAGGTGTTTGGATCTGATTCTTAAAACTGCTTCTGCTCTTTCAGGGAGCAGAAGCAGAAGTTAGAGTGTTTGGGTGAAAGTGCAGAAGTGATTCTGGTGCTCTAATTTACCACGAGAATCAGTTTTTTTTAAAGTTGGGGGTGACCAGCTTCTGAAAACTGATTCTGATTCTGCTTTAAAAAAGAAGCAGAAGCAGAATCAGTTCCAAACACCCCCTAATATTGGTATATGGCTAGCCTTGTGCTTGTCAAATATTTGTCTCCACCTATACTTTTTTGCAGTTTATTAGCCTTTTGAATGCAAACAAAAGTAACTGTGATGGCCAAAAACTACATAGAGATTAAAACCAACGATTTGGGTAGCTATAGGCGCCCAAATTACCCCCCCCCCCCCCCCCCCCCCCCCGCTTCCATTCTTTGAAGTGTTATGAGTGGTTCATTAACCTCTTAAATGGGTTTTCATGTATACACTAAAATGCACGTATCAATACTTTATGATAGAATTTAGGACTAGATTGAGATGATTCAACTAGGCCATCAAGCCCTTAGTTCATTATAAGGCGTGATAAACTTATTTTTTTCTCTCATTGGTATTTGGGATTTTAACACTATCTCTATACGGACCTTCGGTTTGAAAGTATACGAGGAAGCGACTTATCAAATGAAAGAAGAAAAAATAATTTGTTGGTTGGGGAAGGGGTTGAACTAACTATCACTGATGAGTGGTGTTCTATAATGTGTGCAGGGAAGCTGAGGCAAGGGAGGTGAGTGAGAAAACCAATGCGAGAGTGGCTTTGTTGAGTATAATGTCCCTTGGCATCTGTGTATTTGTTTCATCCCTGCAACTTTGGTATTTGAGGAATTATTTTCAAAAGAAAAAGCTCATCTAATATTCATGATTCTAAGTTCTAACCTTTTCCTCATAGAATGTCTCAAATACTGGTTGTCACCTTCAATCTATACGTCTAAATATGTACCATAGATAAATGTATATCACATCCATGTTATAGCCTCTTTGATGGGCTGAAATTGTAATGTCCTTGTGAAACTTCACATATGGAGTTTGTGCTTTAGAAAACCAACTTTGTTTTAGGAGTCCTAATTAGAAGAAGCTTTCATGATATCCATCTCCATTTATGTAGACTACTGATTTTAATGCCTGTAAAAGTAACGTGGCTGATGGAATTTGCTTAATTTTGAAAGTGTGGTCAAAGTAATATGGCTGATGGAATTTGCTTCATTTTGAAAGCGTGGTATCCAAACGAGTACATGAGATGCCCACAGAAAGAGAAGAAAACAATAACTCCAAATTTGATCTTTGCACCCCGTTCATCACATGAGATGAATGTGGTCCAAACAGTGCCTATGCGGTCTGCAAAAAATCTCAGGATACGTGTGAAATAGTATGTGGTATAACACGATTGAATTGTAGACATGGTTTGGAGAACCTAGTTATTTTTTACGCTGTAGCCTGTAGGTCACTTGTATGAATATACAACCTTATTTTCACTCTTGCAGAGTGCAAATTTAAATATTACTCCCCCTGTCCCTAAATTTACTTCCATTTCGCTTTTCGAGAGTCAACTTAAATCACTCTTAAACTCTTACTTTTTGTATCAAAACTTTATGAAAATTGTTTTTTTTTGTGCAGGCTTTGTAGCGGGTTTAATGTAGTTTCTGAATATGTAAATTTTATTTACTAAAAATAATCCGAGTTTTCACAGGGATCATTTAACTTTATGGTCGGTCAACCTTCGTAATCCGCAATCGGAACAACATTCAGGGACGGAGGGAGTATTATATACTCCCTCCGTCCCGCTATGATTGTCCCATTTTACTATTTCGGTCCGTCCCACTAAGATTGTCACATACCTTATTTGGTAAAATTTGTGTGGTTCTAAATTATTTCTACTTTATTCTTACTTTATCAATTCAATATCAACCACATAAAGCCACTTTTATTAATAACCGTGTCACCTTCTCTTGTCCCAAACTTAGGGGGACGGAGGTAGTATTTGTTCCTAATGAAGTACTACCTCCGTTTTTTTTTAATCTTCACAGTTTGACTTCACACAAAATAAGGAAAGAAATTTGACTTTACTGTAGAGTACACTGTTGAGGCACTGTTTGACACTGTTTGGCACTGTAGAGACACTGTTTGGCACTGTTGAGACACTGTTTGGCACTGTTTTGATGTAGATTTCTTTGCCAAAAAAGGAAATAAGGAAGTGTGAAGTTTATTTTAGACCGTCCCAAAAAGGAAAGTGTGAAGTTTATTAAAAACCGGAGGGAGTAGTTGTCTAGCTTTCCTATTTCACATATTTCAAAATATTATCTGACAATTTTGGAAAAAGAGTATACCCAAAAACTCTACATATATTTTCTCAAACTAGGCTGCAAATAGAGGGACTATATTCCAGTTTCTAGGTTTCAACTATTTTTCACTAAGGATGTTTTTACTTGGACTGTAATTTGTCCCAGACCAGATCAGACCAGACTTGGATAGTTATAAAAATACAAAGAAACCAGACCAGTTCAGACCAGATCAGACCAGACCAACAAATTACAGATTTACAGCTGATAGAGTATATGGACCTGGACCCCACGGCCCGCATACTCAAGTCAACGGCGACCAGAAGAACACCCACGTGGCCCCTTCGGCCAGTGGGTCCGCATCGGCCAGAAACCAAACCGGCCCAGGAATCGCATCTGGACTCCCGGGGGCCGCATCGGCCCATGGACTGCATCGGCCATGAGTCCGCATCGGCCAAAAGGCGCCGCATTGGCCAGAGTTCGTCCTGGCAGAATGCATCTCTCTACTTTATTTGCTAAGTATTGTACACAGCCCATTAGTGGCCCTATTTCGCCCAAAAGAGGCATGATTATTGTAATGGGCCTCCTAAGCCCATGGCTAGGGGCCCGAAACCACATTTTTACCTATAAATAGACCCCTTGGGGCTAGTTATAGGGGGTTGAGAAATACAATTACTCACTTTCTCTCTCTAGCTCTCACTTCTCTCTAGAATTAATACTCTATCATTTGGTGCTTTCATTGAGAGCCTAGAACAGATCAAGTGAGTACCCCTCGTCGCTACCAGACGCAACAGAATGACAAGAACTAGGTCAAAGAATACCGCTAGGAACGCCCCTCTGAACCAGGAAGGGCAGGGAAACGTTGCTGACAACGTCCCCAATGATCTCATCATCCAGGATGAGAATGCTCAGGAGGTCGAGCACGCAACGGCCGACCTCCGCGTCCAGCTCAACAGGACTGCCCCAGACGCCCGCATCGGGCTCGAGGACAGGCGCAATGCTGATCGCGCTTCGGGCCAGCAGACTTCTCACCCTGCTGCCCCCCAGATCAACCCGGCCGCACTATCGGCCATCGTCGCAAGCATTCTCCAGGACCCCAACGTCGTCAGCGCCCTCGTCGCAAAGACAGGGGAGAACAATACTCCCGTGACTGGAGAGGTCGCGACGGCGCCACCACCGCCACCTCGTCCGCAAGGCGTCACCTTCTTCGGTGACAACGAGGACGTCCTCGCCGTGGACACCCATTCCCATACTGCCTCACCTACCCGGGATACACCGGCCCAACCTCGCGGTAAAATCTCGGCCTTCAACAGGCTGGGTGACATCGCGAGCCGTCGGGTACCTACGGGAAGGGTTGCGGATCGGTTGGGTGGTCGCGAGCCGGGATCACCAAAGGAAAGCTTCGGGTCCGTTTCCCGGACAACGGATCGGCCCCGACCAGACAAGGGCAAAGGAAAGCTGAATGATGATGATGCGCGCCACCAGATCAACCTGGCCCACGCGGCCCGGATCCAGACCCCTCTGGGTGGCGCTGCGGCCAACACGGATCCAAGGGACGAGATCATCGCCCGCCTGGAGAAGCGCCTCGCTGATATGGAAGCCCGAGAGGCGGCAGGGCGCGCAGCGGCTCACACATCCCAGCATCCCAACTACGATGCACTCCTGCACAAGGTCAGTGCCTTGGAGAGGGAGTTGGCCGACCGACGCGACGAGCCCGTCATCCAAATACGGACCCGGACCCCCTTCTCTGCGAGGGTGCTCTCCGCTCCCATCCCAGAGAAGTACAAGGGGAATCCGATCAAGCCATATGACGGCCGCACTGATCCTCAGGAGCATTTCACCCGCTATCAGAACAACATGATGATGACCAACGCTTCGGAGGAATACATGTGCCGTTGGTTCCTCTCCACCTTGGAAGGGCCAGCGTATGATTGGTTCAATAACCTTCCAGAAGGGAGCATCGACTCATGGCAGGACCTTGCTCAGCGCTTCCTCACCCACTTTGCCGGGAGGAAGCGTGCGAAGAAGCATTTCGCCCACCTCCTGACCATCAAACAACAATCGGAGGAGACACTCCGAGCCTTCCTCGATCGCTGGACAAGGGAGGCGGACGAATGTGAAGGGGCCGACGAACGCACTCTCTTGGCTTTCCTCCGCGGAGCACTCTAGCCTAGCCACTTCGCCCGGAGCCTATTCACGGAGCCGCCGCGGTCATACCTCGCGGCGCTCCGACGCGGAGATAGGCACGCTGATGCCGACGAGCTCCTGAACCAGAAGAAGGGTGGGGAGAAGCAACAAAAGAAGGACTCCTCGTCCAACCCCCACCATCCGCCGGCCAACAAGGGACAGCACCAGCCAAAAAAGGCACACCAGGAGCAAGGCGGACAGCGAAGAGAGGACCGTTCATGGCGCCCAAAATTGGAGGCACAGCGCATTCCCCTCACCCACCCGGTGAGCGTCGTCCTCGACCACGCCGAGGCGCAAGGCCTCATTGTGAAGGACCCCAGGTCAGAGGAGGAGATATTTGCGGTCCACAAAGGAGGGACGTACTGCAAGTACCACCGCCAGACATCCCACAGGACCGAGGATTGCACCACCTTGAAGAGGCACATCGACGGCCTCGTCCGACAGGGGGAACTTTCCCAATTTGTCAAGGGTGCCCCCAAGAGTAACACTTGGGTTAACCCTGGCAAAAGGGGGGAAGGATCCTCCGGGAGAAAGAGGGAGATCGGCGCCCTCAGTGAAGATGAGGACGAAGAGGAGCCCCGCCAGAAGAAGCATCACATTCACATCATCGTCGGCGGGAACACAGGGGGGACTCGGCTACCCAACGGAAAAAATGGGCTCAGTCCCTATACGTTGGTGAGGTGACCCACGCCCCCCCTCAGCCGAAGCGGCGGCATGTGGAAGCCATCACCTTCACCGACAAGGACCTCCCCTTCGGCCCCTTGCCCCACAGGGACGCCCTCGTCGTCAAATGCGAGATTGGCAACAACATCATCCACCGCAACTACATCGACACTGGCAGTTCTGTCAATGTGATGTACGTTGACACCTTCAGACAACTGAAATTGAAGAAGTCCGAGCTCCGGCCGATACGGACTCCGTTATCCGGCTTCACCGGGGACTCTATCGACGCCGAGGGCACGATAGTGCTTCCCGTTGTGGTCGGTGACGGTACCTGTCAGGCGAAGATTGACATGGAGTTCGTCGTCGTCAACTTGGACAGCGCCCACAACATGATCTGAGGCCGACCGGCCTTGGAGGACCTTGAGGCTATCATCTCCATGAAACATCTAGGCCTCAAGTTCCCCACCAAGGACGGCGTCGGCTACGCCAGAGGGAACCAGAAGATAGCCCGAGCTTGCTACCTGAAGCTCACAAGAAAGATCACCGAGGCCGAGGAACGAATAGACACTATCACCACCGCCTCGGCCGAAGAAGACACACCAAAGGCCGAACCGGTCGGAGACGTGGAGGATGTTCCGTTGGACGTCTCCCGGCCGGAACGCACGCTGAAGATTGGGACACAGCTCCCCCAACAGATTCGAAGGGACATCCTCTCTGTCCTGAGAGCGTACGCCATCGTCTTTGCATGGGGACCGGAGGACATGCCAGGCATCAGCCCAAAGGTAATCACGCATCGGCTCTCAGTCGATCCGGCATCCTCCCCCATCAAGCAGAAGAAGCGCTACCTCTCGGTCGACAGGAGGGAGTTCGTCAAGGCCGAAGTAGCCATGCTGCTCTCCATCAAGCACATAAAAGAGGTGAAGTACCCCACGTGGTTGGCGAACGTCGTCCTCGCACCAAAGCCGCCCACGTTCAGAATGTGTGTTGATTACACCGACCTGAACAAGGCGTGCCCGATGGACCCATTCCCTCTCCCCAACATTGATCAGTTGGTGGATGAGACGGCGGGGTGCGAGTTGATGTCGTTCCTCGACGCGTTCAGAGGGTACCACCAGATATCCATGCACGAAGATGACGCGGAGAAGACTGCTTTTATGACCCCGGAGGGAATTTTTTGCTACCTCGTCATGGCCTTTGGGCTCAAAAACTCCGGCGCCACCTACACAAGGATGGTAGCCCGGATTTTTAGAGCAGTCTTAGGTCGGACGATGGAAGCATACGTCGACGATATGATCGTCAAGAGCAAACAATCCACAACTCATGCCGACGACCTCCGGGGCATCTTCGAGATCATGAAGAGGTACAACCTCCGGCTCAACCC